AAAAATAACAATAAGGGGGCCTGGCAGGTGGCGTGGTGGCTAAAGGTGCTGGACTCCCACACGGCCAACCGTGGTTCAAGTCCTGGACCTGGTGGGTTCCTTTCTCACCCCCTCACTTCTCTGGTCAAATTGGAAAATAATAATAATAATTAATAAAGTTAAAATAAAAAATAAGGCTCTTTGGAATGGAGTGTCTCATCAACACTCGTGACGCTGACAGGGGCGGCGCCCGTGTCGTGTGTGTGGTGAGCAGAGGGCACAGCTCGGTGACGGCTGGTCCCCCACGTCGTCCTTAACCGTGTGATGCCGTTCATCTTTGCCGCAGGGCCTATGTGCTCACCAGAGAGAGGCAGAAGTCACCCCCCGGGGATGGCCACTGTGCCTTCTCCTCCAGTCTCCTCCGGGCACACACACATGCCTGGTGTGATTTTCAGGCCGTCGGGTTCAGGACGCGAACTGCAGTTGACCGTGTGGGAATCCCGCGCCCTCACCGCCACACCAGCGGGCCCTGTGTCTTTTTAAAGCCTGGAGGTGGGGTGCCCATCACTTCCAGCTGCAAGAGCGCCCGTCCTGGGTCCCGCTCAGGCCCTGGGCACAGTGCAGCCGGTTCCCGGTTCTCCGAGCGAGGCTGCGACCCAGGGCACCGCTCAGGCTCAGGCCCCGGGGCTCCAGGAGCCCCCCAAGGAGTGTTTCCGTACCTCCCAGGTTCACTCCGAGTCCTGGGCTCTCGCCTGCTGACCCCTGACAAGCGTCCGTGTGACGAGGCTCCACGGCTTCCCCAGGGCGGGTTCGAGCTGGGCCATGACTCCTCTGTGGAGCATCAGCTCTGCGAGGCCGGGCTGAGGTTCTGATAGATTCGGAGTTCCGTGTCCCCACCCGTTTTCTCTCTGGAACAGGGTCACGTTCTTTCGGCCTCTCCCACAGTGTGAATGGCACTCCTGCCCTCGGTCGGTTTTCCCCAGCAGGGAGCAGGGGGTGAGGGGCCGGTGACAGGGGAGCTGTGCTCTGGGGACAGCATGCCGTGCCACCACTCAGCCACGTGCTTTTCCACGCGAGGTGTGTTCCACCTCCTGGCAAGTGGCGAGCCGCCCTGTGCTTTGGGGGACGGTCCTGACCGCGCTCTGGGTGTTGTCGGCCATGCAGGAAATAGTGAGCTCTGTGGTCTCTTCCCAGGAGGTCCCTTCTCCTGTCTCCTCTTAGGAAAGAGAACACGCCCAGCGTGTTTCGAGCCAGCGGGTCCAAGATTTGAACCATGGTCAATTATGTGGGAGTTCAGTGATATAACCATTATGCCATCCGCTGGTCCTGTTTCATGTTTTTTCTTTTATTTTGAAAGGTTTTTGCTATAGGGCGTGTGCACTCACCAGAAAGACACAGAGAGACAGAAAGCAAGAAATCACCCCCAGGGGGGATGGCCATGCCTCAATCCCTTCTCCTCCATTCTCCTCTCGGGATCTTGGGCATGCACCCAGTGTGAGTTTAAGCCACCGGGTCTGGGACTTGAACTGCGGTCGGCCGGCTCCATGGGAGTGCAGAGACATAGCCACTACACTAACCCTGGCCCCCGTCTCGTGAGTCTTTTATGTTCCTTTGAAAATGTCATCTTCCAGAACAGAAGTGTGTCTTTTTTTTTTTTTTTTTTCAATTTTGCCAAAGGGTGTTGCACTCGCCAGGAAGAGACGGCGAGGGAGAGCGGAAGTGAGAAAGCACCCCAGGCCCCAGGGATGCGCTCGCCACAGCCCTCACCTCCGCTCTGCATCCCGTTGGGGCTGGGCACGGAACTGTGCCCTTGGGAGGCTGTCAGCCACGTGGCCTTGTGACACCCCTGAGCTCCTGCTGTGACAGTGCTGAGGGCTGCCTTCTGCACGGGACGGGACGCCCGGGCTGCCGTGGCGTCGCTGCCCCTGGGCCAGGTGTAGGGACGGCCCGCCAGGGGG